TAATAAATGTTCACTCTAGTAATCTACCACCTGGTCTCTACCTCCAAAATAAAGCAACCGGTTGTTAGTGGAGAAAAACAAGCAGAGAACTCACAAATCCTCAGAAGTTCTTACCTCAACTTTCATCTAACTGTTTGGTTTTGCATTCACCAATATTTGTTCAAAATTTCTTTTATTCTTCTCCCACACATACAAGTAAATAGCCATGCTGCACAGTGGTAAAATACTTGCATTATAACAGGTGATTGACATTTTCACAACTATTATAATAATGAGAGTTAAATCCTTTTCATAAGAATTATTTCACATGTAAATCTGGAATAATTTTTTACAAAAAAAGACGAAGAAAACATGTTATACTCCTAGCTTACAGTTATATACTTGAATTTCAGTTTTCAGTTCAAGAAAGGGAGAAAAAAACGTATTCCTATGAAAGGAAGTTTAGAAGCAAAATGTATGTGATGAACTGAGGTCAATACTTATTCAAAACATTACTGTGCAAATTTAAGATACTCCTAGTCTATCTTTGACACAATTTTCAAATACAATGCTATTTATCTACATTAGGTTATCATTTTCATAAGCTTATAGTCTAATAGTCTCCTGGTTTTATATACATGAATATATACTGGGGGAGGGGTGCTGGAATTAAACCCAGGGCCTTTAGTATGCTAAGCAAGCACTTTACCATTGAACTATGGTCCCAGACGTTTATTTTTTGGTACGGGGGATCAAACTCACAACCTTGTGTGTAAGAGGCAGGCGTGGTGCCACAGAGCCAGATCCCTGGTTTTTTATTTTTTTTTAAGACAAGGTCTCATTAAATTGCCCAGGCTGGCCTCAAACTCATGATCCTATCCTTCCCTGGTAGCTGGGATTACAGGCATGCGCCACCCTGCCTAGCTCTTGCTTTTATATTTTTTAAAAAAACCTAAAACCAAATAAGGCCAATTGATATTTCTTATACCAATACTTGGTACTGATCACTGAAGGGTAAAAGCCAAATCTCAAAAAATACATTTCACAAGGAAAGTCACAAACAAATGCCCTGAATTAAATTTAGATTTCTACTGAATCATACTTGGATGGTTTGTAGTCATGCTCTAAATGCTATTTTTCTTCAGAAACACCCTTTCCATTCTCTATAAGGGCCTCTAAAATGAGCAAACACATCCTACCTTATTTTCCTACTTGATCAAAATCTTAACTCCCGCCTTAATCACACTTCCCATCCTGCCTAACACATCTGCCTTTTATAGACTCACTAATTCCCCATTTGAGAGACACCAGAATGCTGAGGAAGTGAGAGTCTTGCTCACCATCCTCTTACTGGCCTCAATAAGCATCCTTCAAACCACCTTGACTTTTAGTAAGCCAAGTCCCTCCAACTACCTCTTTCCTATCACTCTCATATTGCACTAGGTTTCAGTGTTCAGGCCCCTTGGCACCTAGCTCATCCCCATTCTAGGTCCCTTTCAGAGTTTTATATTTAACCCAAATAATCACCTTGGCATATGCCAAAAGTAGCACTTTAGGGCTCCAGGAAGAGCTTAGGCAAAAAGTATAACAAGAGGGCTGGGGATTTAGCTCAGTGGTGCTGCCGACTGCCTCGAAAGCACAAGGTCCTGAGTTCCATCCCCAGTACCACAAAAAAATAAAAGAACTTATTGTCTATCTAGGAGAGACATTATAAATATTTATATACAAAACGACTCATTAACATGAATTGGTTTACTGTGTACCACAGTCTTAAGATCACTGCATAATGCATTTATCAACTAATTTATTCCCCTAAGGTTGGTCTCTTAACAAATATCCCTACTATTCAGATGTGGCACAGAGAGGTTTAAGTAATGTGTCTTGGGACAATGATTAGTAAGTGGACAAACTGGATTAGAAACTCAGACAGTGGTCAGATTATAAGGGGTGTTACGCCTTTACTAAAGGCTCTTAACTCTACCCTGTTTGGTTAGTGGTTACCAACTAGAAATATATATACTACCAGACCCCTCAGGGTGTTGAAGACATCACTGTTGAGGATGACTGCCTCTTTCCCTGTTGGGAGCGCTAAACCAGGCTGAGACAGGAGGATCGCTGGAGTCAAGGAATTTGAGGTCAGCCTGGACAACACAGCAAGAATCCATCCCAAAAATTAAATAAATAAGAAAAATAAACTACTTATCGGGAGAGTTCCTAACCTCTAGGGCAGTGATAGTAAACCTAAAGCTTTCAATTGATGCAAATAGCCTGCTGCGGCACACGTGCCATTGGTTTGCCACCACTGCTCTAGGTGTTGGGGTTTAAAAAAAAAAAAAAGAAACTGCTATAACATAGGTGATGAAGGGTTATTGGGCTCCTGAGCAGACAACTCCAGAAATATACAAGGGAGACAATGTAGCTGAGCCAGCTCTCAATTGCTCACCATAGACAGCTAAGCTCAATATCCCATTATACCCCTCACCATCAATTTCTAATTCATATATGTGCTTCAAGTGTAAATAAAAATTGTGTGCTCTTTTTCTGTTTAAAATGTCTTCTTTTACAAACCCCAGTGGTTCTTGGCAGAATAACTAATACTGTTTAACATGCCACTCAGAACCACAGCCTCTGCTGCCTGTATGCAAGGGCATTTCCCCCATTTGCATTTCTTTTTTGGGAGGGCACAGTTACTGGGGCCTTCACACTGAGCTACATCCCCTGACCTTTCTTTATTTTTTAATTTTGAGGCAAAGTCTTGCTAAGTTTCTCAGTTACACAGACTGGGCTCAAACTTGGGAATCTTCCTGCCTCAGTCTTCCAGAACGCTGGGATTACAGGAGTGTGCCACCACACCCAGCCCACATTCATATTTCTCACATAGGTGAGGAGAAGAAATTGAGAATCCTTTACCACAAGCTTTACCTGTCCTTTCTCCTTTCAAACAACTAACCTGGTCTAAATCAGTACAAAGCTGGTCTATGTTGACTCACAGGCAAAAAAAAAAAAAAATCTCACTTCTCACTTCACAAATGAGGAAAATACAGCTTTGAAAGGGAAAACAAATTGCCCAGGGTAACCCAAACAATAAGCACAGAACTGTAACTTGAATCTTGATTCCAATCCAAAACCAGTGAGAAAGACAACTAGTGATAAGCAGGGTGACTTCTGGTGGTTTGCAACACAAACATGGAAAAACAGGAAGAGATATCCAAGTGATTCAAGCTTGGGACTACATCTAACCCCTTCTAAGGATAGGATTAAATAACAGTAAGCAGGGCATTAAGCAATGATCTCTACCTTTCTCATTCTCCCTACCTCCCAGCAGGGCCGGGTGTCAAACACAGGGCCCAGATTGTGCTAAAATGTGTTACATTCCCAACCCCTTTCTAATTCTTACACTGCATTTTTCTTGTCTTATTGTATTGGCTAGGATCTCCAGTACAATACTGAATTTACAAAACCATAACTGATGTATCCTTATGTAATTCTATAAAGCTTCTAAATGTTCACCCTAAGTATCCTGCTTCTTAGATTACTAGTAGATATCTCTCTCTCTTTTGGGGGGTGTGGGGGTGTGGAAACCATCTTATTCCTAGACATGATCTCACAGAACAGCCCAGGCTGGCCTCAGACTTGCAATTGACCTGCTTCAGCCTCCCCAGTGATGGGATTAAACGCCACCCTACTCAACTCCAAAAAGTTTTTTCTTCTTTAAATTTAAACTGATCTTTGACGGACCCTTTCCCCCTTCTCCATGCCGGGTGTTCCACTCCCCTCTGCTCTCTCTTCCTCTCATTCCAGTACATCTTAAAGTACTACTTCTGTCACTCAAATTAACAGATTCTGATATTCTGGGAGTTCTACCTCCTTCTGTTATTTCAATTCCCTGGACCAAAACGTTTCTAAAAATTGAAAATTGAAAGAAAATCCTAAAACAAACATTGTTTCGATCACGCGCCTTTCATTTGTTCTCTTCATCTCTTAAACACACTCTTTTCTTTCTTTAAAATAAAAACTCGGTTAAAAAAAGGATTCTGTTAACTCAGTGTGCTGCCTAGCTCTAAATGAGCCTGCCTTCTTATGTGGTTGGGAGTATCGCCAAGATTTTAAAGTTTCAACAAAAGTAGTAGGATCCAGATGTTTATACTTTTACTCTCTCCTTTGCTAGACTGAAAAATACTAAAGAAAAAAAGGAAAGGGACACGGATAGTACTTATAAGCAAATAAGATATTTCCAGGATATAAAAGGTATGGGGGGCAATCCAATAAAGTTATGAATTCTTTCCATTTTTCTTTCAAAACAAAAGGGCACAATCCTTCCCGAGGCTGCAACACCGAGGGGAGCAGCCAAAACTGTTGCATCATACGAAACACTCCGCGCTAGAGAAACAAGAAAACCAGATGGTGGTAAAATACCTAAGACAGGAAAACCCTAGTTGGAAACCTCAGACTTTTCCCGACCCCCAGGAGCGGCTGGCTGCCCTTTTGTACTTTTTGAAGACTGAACCGAAAATTAAAAGTTTCGGTTTCAGAGCAGCAGGGCTCAGTGCTCTTTTCAAAAGCGTCCTAGGAAGAAGTTCGGTGCCACCCCTGGCGCCAGGCTCTGGCCGGAGTTCGGGGCTTTGAGCGCGGGGCGCGGCGCTCGCGGAGGCCGAGAGTGGTGTGGGGAGGGGTGGGGAGTGGTGTGGGGAGGGGTGGGGAGGGGCGGGGCGGGGCCCACCTCGCCGCGGGGCTCCGGACCGGCGGGAGGCTCGTCGCACCCCGCGGGCGCCGCTCAGCCCGAGGGGACTCGGCGTCAGCCCGAGCCCGCGCCGAAGACGACAGCCGCCCGCCGGACCCTAGCCCTGCCCGGAGAAGCGGGAAGACGTGGTGGCCCCGAGACAATGGCCCCGGGCGCCGCGTCCCCAACGGCCCGGTGCAGGCGCCGCGTGGGGACGCTTCGGGGGCGCCCGGGACGCCGCCCCGCTGGGCCGGACAGGAGCCCGGGGCTCGGCGGGACGCGACGGCAGGCGAAAGCTCACCTTGACGAAGAGCTCGATGAGGGGCTCTTTGTCCTCCTCCTTCAGCCCGTTCAGCGGCATCGACAACGCCATGGCCGGCTCGGCTGGGCTCCACGGACAGCGGCGCGAGTGCTGCTTCAGCTCCGGGGCTGCTCTGGCTGCCGGCTCCCGCCGCGCTGCGCTCGCTGGACAGTCCGGGCGTCAAGCTGGCCGCAGCCGCAACTCCTCAGCACCGCTCCACGCCCCGCGCGCGACTCCGAGGCAGCTGCAGCCCGTGCCACTTCAAACTGCGGGGCGGGGCGCCGGGGGCGGGGCTTCGCCGGGGGCGGGGCAGCGGCCGGGCGCCTCGGGACTCTCCAAGGGAATCTGAGCGGCCGCGGCCCAAGGGGGCGGGGATTAGGGCGGGGACTGGAGGGACCGCCCTGGCGCCCGCGGAGGGACCACTCGGATGACCAGACGCCAGCGTGTGGGCGTGCCCTAGTCTCGGGGATGCTGCCTTTGGTGGGGCGTCACCAAACTCATACTCTAACCCACGCTTCCGGAGGGGGCGGGAGGGAAATTCCCCATTCCCCATTCCCCATTCCCCATTCCCCATTCCCCATTCCCCATTCCCCGGAGGGGGCGGGACGGAAATTCCCCGTTCCCCGTTCCCCGTTCCCCGTTCCCCATGGTCCGGAGCCTGGCCTCCTCCCTCAGCTGCGCCGGCGCGTCCTCCGCAGCTGCTGCTGGTCTGGTGCCAGGTGACCTCATGCCTCGGCCAGCTTGGGGAGGCGAGGAGGCTCCTCCTGCCCTCTCCCCCGCTGCAGCCTCAGGACTCATCGCGCTTTCCCGAAGTAGCTAACTCCCCAACGCCCTCGGTTAGGCGGGGCTGCCTTTTCCAGAAAAAATTTTCCCAAAGTTTTCATCATCTCCTTTGAAATACATTACTTTTTTTCTTCTTCCTCTGACTTCGTTCTTCCTCTTTTGACTTAGACCCTTCTACGTTGGCAGGTAACATATTCCCACATATTTTTGTGGCCCTACATAGTGTTCCAGGCTCCTAGCTAGGCCCTGGACAGTAAGCAATGGAGCAGGATCCCTCCCCTTCCCCCCACCCCCAGTTTAAGTCTGCAACTGACGCCCCAGCGCCTGAAGGCCACTCAGACCCCCCTCCCACTGTCCGGGTGTTTTCCTTCCTGGACAGATTGTTTCCCCATTCGCCTGGCAAACCTGTGTGCCCCAGAGTTGCAGGAGGTTGCTGCACACCCAGCACCTATCAGATTCTCTGGGGAAGAGAGAAAGTCACATTTTAGCCAGCACCAGGACAGTTCTGAAGGATGTGGGCCTCAAAAAGAAAAAAGCTGCCCTGATCTTAAGTCCTGGAGGGCAGGTGTGGGAATGGTTTGAACCAGGCACATGGTAGGCATCTGGGCCGAGTGGGTTGCTGTTGATGCCTGAGGCAAATGTCACCTCCTTTGGAAACTTCTAGTGCCCTCATCTGACTTTCCCTAACACCTGACTTGCAGGAAAAATGAAGTCAGAGGAAGAAGAAAAATAAAACTTTCAAAGGAGATGACCCTGTTTCCCAGGTTTGGCTAATTCCTGAGTTCCAGAAGGGCTGAGATGGGACTGGGAAGATCTCCACCTCACTAATACATGGCACATATCAGAGTGTTTCAAAAAATTGAATGAATGCAGGAAAATACAGTGAAACCTGCAACTTTTTCCCCTGGCCAGGCCGAAGCAAGTTGTTCATAGTTTCTTACAGGGACTCTGTTAAAGGACCAGTGATTAGAATAACATGCTCTGGAGACAGGTGTTTGTGCATGCCTCTAATCTCAGCACTCTGGGAGGCTGAGGCAGACAGATCACAAGTTTAGGCCTAGCTTGTGCAACCTGGCAATTTAACAACTTAGTCAGAGCCCATCTCAAAATAAAAAATAAAAAAGGGATGGGGATGTAGCTCAGTACAAAGGCCCTGGATTCAATCTCCAGTACTGAAAGAAAAAAAAACTCTGGAGCCAGAGTCAAACCGTTTAAGTTCACATCTTGACCACAACGCAATGTCCTTAAAACCTTCAGCCTCACTTTCATCACCTAGAAGCGGGCTGGGTGGGTGCAAGACCTTGTCTGTTTGTATGTCCTGTGCAGTCAGTGTTGGCCACTATCTGGCCCAGCCTTGGCTGTCCTTGTCCACCCCTGCAGGCTAGCATGGCATCATATCCAACTCCCTTTGTGACCAGCTTGTTTGTTGAAAAGGAATAAATGCCAGAGCCGGGAGGCCACCTCTTAGGTCAGGACAAACAAAAACAGAGGTGACTGGCTGGACTCTGAACTGAACTCAGTGTTAATTTTTCACGGAATCATGAACTGAAGTTCTCTTGCACCCTCCCCACTCCCACCTTGCCTTAAAAGGAACCAAGATGGTGGCTCTAAGCTGAAACCAACCCAAGGATCACAGAGCCTCAAAGAAGACCCAGCCTGCCTGAGGCAGGGCTTCTGGTTCTCCCAGATGTGCATGCGGGCTATCAGACTCCAGCTGGGGTCTGTGAGTGTCCCGAAGGCTATCCCCCCAGGATAAGAGATGACTGGACCTCGAAGGAGAAGCAGAACAATATTCCTCAGGTTTCCTTGACTCAACACAGCTTGTAGCTAGGAGGAAGCCAGTGGCCCTCTCCTCCACAGAGCCCCAAGGGAGTGTGACCTCCAGAACTCCCCCTGCCCACCAGGAAACCGCAGGCAGAAGCTCAGACCCTGAGCCAGTGCTTGGAAACCTGGTCACAGTCGCTCCTCGGGTTCCAACTTGTACCCCTGTGTGGCTCCCATGGATGGGCATAGAGGGTTGAGGGCAGGAGAATGGAGATGTTTATTCAGGGAATCTCCATAGTACATTCCATTCACGGCTCCTTCCAGCCTTGAAATGCAAGCTGATTTTTCATACTGTGCTCATATTTGTTTTTATAATCCACACAGAAAGTTTAAAGATGGGTGGATATGTTCTCCACACACCCCTCTGACCTAATCATCACAGCTCTCCCCTTTGCTCTCCACCCCAGCCACACCTGCCTCCTTGCTATTCCTGTTGCCTCTGGGTCTTTGCACTTGCTATAGCCCTCGCAACACCATTCTTCCAGAATTTCCACAACTCTCACTCTCTAGCCTCCTTCGGGTATTTGCTGAACTGTCCCCTTCTCAGAGAAGCCTCCCCATATGCTACCCCAGGCAGCACCACAGACTGCTATATTCTCACTCATCTTCTGCTTTATTTCACTCATGGCACTTATATCCTCTAATATATATTTTACTTGTCTGCTCCTTGTGTGTGGCAAGCCCCCCCCCCCACATACATGAGCATAACTCCTGTACAGCAAAGATTTGTGCTGGCTTTTGTTTACAGCTGTGTTCCTAGCTTATAGGACAGCTCATCAATAAAAACTTAAGGAACAAGGACAGGGGATTTAGCTCAGTGGTTCCTCCGCCTGCCTTGCAAGCGCAAGGACCCAAGTTCGATCCCTGCTACCAAAAAAGAAAAAAAAAATTAAGGAATGAGGGCCAGACATGGTGGCCCATGCCTGTAATCCCAGCATTTGGGAGGCTGAAGCAGGAGAATCACCCTGAGTTGGAGGCCAATCTGGGCTACATAGTGAGTTCAAGGACAGCCTGAAATACATTGAGACCTTGTCTCAAAGAACCACAACAAAACAAAAAGAAAACAACAAAATTTTAGAGTGAGTGATTATGCCACATTTACACTGTGGTCTCATGTACCTGTGGAACAGTTCTCGCCTGTGTTTCTTATGATAACCACTTCGCTAACCTTCATAAGTCTCCCCATGGCTACAGCAGGGAATATAATAGAACCTAACTCATTAAGTGGTTGAGAGAATTAACTGAGGTAAGGCCTATAAAGCCTTTAATAATAAACACAATAAATGTTAGCTATTATTACCTCATATCACTATCTGCTTCTTCTTGGGTATACTATGACATTCTTAGAGGGAAGGAAACTTGTCATCGCACACACTTTCTTGTGAACAAAATATTTCTCAAGATGTACCTCAATGGTAGAGCACTGGCCTAGAGTGCACAAGGCCCTGGGTTCAGTTGGCAGCAACCCCCCAAAAAATTAAAAAATTATTTCCCATCTGTGCGATTTCCTTATATAAAATGATAACTATAATACATTAATTATAAGGTTGGTATGGAGATCAAACCAGTTAATAAAGGTAAAGCACATAACACAGAGCAAGTGCTCAACAAATTTTCATTATTATTTATGCTCTCCTATGCCTAACTCAGTGCCTGGCACCTAATGGTGATTCAATCCAATGGGACGGAGTGAGAATAAACATAAACTTCAAGCATTGCCTTTTCTTCTCCCATCTCCCAAGTTTCACATTGTTGTTTCTTTCACTGCATCTATCAAATAATAGGTGCTCAATTAATCTCTGCTGATACCAGTCAACCTGGCTATGGAAAATTTTTTTGATACCGGGGATCGAACTCAGGACCTTGTGCTTTCGAGGCAGGCGCCGGAACCACTGAGCTAAATCCCCGGCCCTGAAATTTTAAACGAGGCCTCCCACTTCAACTGTAATTCCCTACATGGTGAATTGGGTCCTATAAAATGCTGCTGATTGTGACTTAGCCATAAGTTTGGCTGAAGCTTAACGTGCATGTGGTGTTTGCAGAAGCTCCAGCCTTTCCAGCTTCGCTGTAGATCCGGGCTCCTCTGGAGGAAGCAAGTCACTGAACAAACACCGGAGCTGGTGGCACACTTCAGTTCAGCTCTGCTGGGCTCTAAACAGAGCTCCAGTGGATCCGAGGATGCAGAGGCCCTTCCTGGCCTCAAGTCCACCGGCCTTCATTTACAAGAGGAAATCAGTAAAGAACACTGAGGCTCAAGGAAGTGAAACAGTTTGCCTAGGGCCACCCAGCTGTAAGTGGCAGAATCTATAATCAAATCCAAACCTCCTGTCCTCACTGCTGGCCCGGTGTATTTCTTCTTTGACTAGAAAGGGTGGCACATAAAGATTTTGGCATAATACATACACTCAAAAAAAATCATTTTCGAATTTTTGTGCACAACCCTCTCCCCAACTCCATCTCTCTTTCCTTCATGGCTCTGAGATCAGAATATTTTACATAAACACCCTCAGTTCAAATCCCAACCCTGCACCTACTAGCTCAGGCATTTCACTTCATCTTAGCTTCTTCTTCCATCAAATTGGGGGATAATGAGTCCTTCAGAAGCTCGTGTGGAAAGTAGGGAGGGAGGAAGTAGGCTCCAGGGAAGATAGGAC